TTATGAATACATGTTATGTGAATATGATATAAACCATGTGATAATGAACTATGTGATTATAAATGAAATGGTATAAGCTATGTGATATTAAGTATATGAATATATGTGTATAAGATAAGCCATATGATGTGAATGATATGATAATAAGCTATGTGATAAGAAGCCATAAGCCATGTGATATGTGATATGTGAATTATAAGAAAATGTTCTACGTGTAAGTGATATACGTGTCTATGTGAATATGAGAAATGATATAAAAGATAATGCCCATGTTATGTGACATGAGAGCTAGAGGTATAGTTGGCATGCCAAGAGTCGAGGGTTCTACGTGGTCCTTGGGGACATATATGTAATCATTTTGAATATATGCGGTACTTCTGTACTCTTATTTGGTTATTGGAATATGTTATGGTTATTAAGGAGTGGTCCTTCGGGACATATGTGTTATATGTGGTCTTTCGAGACATTTCTACGTGGTCCTTCGAGACAAATTCTACGTGCCCCTAGTGGGAATTATATGAGCTGTGGTGACAGCATATGTGCACAACCTCTATGTACTCACAAATCTGTAGTTCTCACATGTGTACATGGGCTAACAAAAAGATAACAATAAACATATTACATGTGATGTATATGCCTACGTGATATGATATGTGTTACACAAATTATATGATGATATGTACATTGTGTGGTTAATAATGTTAGGTACAAGAGCTTATAACTAAGAGATATGATTGATAATAATGTTAATATTGATAAGAATAATAATAAGGATAATGAAATGATATGTATATATATGTATTTATGTTTTGATGCATAATGCGTTCTATAGTTTATTATGATTACATGAAGTGTGCATAGTAGGAATTAGTATTGATATGTTATAGTAAGTTTATTTATGCCTCACTAAGTCATCGACTTAGCGTGTGAGTGTTTCACACGTAGGTTCTGTGAAGCAAGAAGATGAGCAAGACAAGTTAGCCTCTCCTTTACGAAGTTCAGATCAGAAAAAACTTGAATTATATGTAATTTGTTTTATTAAAAGTAGTTGGCATGTAATTAATGTTTTGAATTATATACTCTCTTATCATTTTTGTAAACCTTTTTATTGTAATAATACGAATTATGAAGTTTTATTTAAAATAAGAGAAAAAAATTTCATATTTGTATACAAGTATAAGTTTTGAAAAGTCAATGTGACACCTTGGACTCAGATCCAGGTCGGATACGGGTTAGGGTGTTACATCATCTGCCACGTTAATATGACACCTTGGACTCAGATCCAGGTTAGATACGGGTTGGGGTGTTACATCATCTGCCATGTTAATATTCCACCCTGGACCACCACGATAGTATTGTAACAATCAACGGTGAAAAATGTTGGTCAAAGGCCTGCATTGGATTTATTTTATGAGTTGGAGGGCCACATTGAAATAGTAATTAATATGAGGGTCATATTGATTTTTTAAAAGTATAGGGACACCTTATTTCTTTTTGCCTATTTTTTAATAGCCTTAAAATCGTTTTAATATTCCTTTCTGTTTTCAATGGTCGAAAAAAAAATCCAACATTTTTTGTATGAAATGAAAAGAATTATGTTTGAAAATCCATTAATTAATCAAGTTGCTAAGAATATTTTTGTTATCTTATTTTATGTGAGTGTAAATTCTGACATTTATCAGAGAAATTAGCTTCATAAATGAAAATCCAAAACCCAAAGTCACATAGCACTAACCTTAAGCTTGCATTGATGTGTTTTATTTCATAATACAAGTTCACCATGATAAATCAAATGTGAATTAATAATCATGGTTTTGAACAAACTGTCAAATCTAAAGTGACAAACTCTACATGGCTACACCAACATGGGATTTCATCATTAACTTGGAGAATTCCTTTAATCACCCTGCATGAAATATATTAATTCATCTGCAGCCGTGCGATTTATTTATTTTTAATATTGATTCTTCTTTAAATTTAAATATAGCTATATTTCATCTCTCAAATTACAAATGTTTGATGTTGTTTATATAGTCATTTATTTTCTTACTATACATGAACTTGAATTAAGTTTTAACTAGTACTACATCAATAATAACTTTATTTTTTAGGGGTATGTATTATATTTAATTATTCACATTGTGCATGAACATTATCTAATTAATCAATATAATGTATATGTTTTATTCATGATAATGTAGGTTCATTGAATTGAATTTTTTAAAATAAATAAATTATTAATTAATCTTTAAATTAATAAAATTATGTTATCCGTGGTTATTAATTTGTTGAATTTTTATTAATTTTATAAATAATTTAAGTACTAATTAAACATTCAAAGTGATGGATTCAATGATAATACATTTTTTTAAGGAAAAGACAAAGGAAAATTCTAAGCTATTCTGGTGCTTTCCTCGTGAATTTTCTAGTCTTCTTTGGAACCTGGTGGAATAATGATAACACATGTTTTAACTCTCATAAGAAATCAGTTTAAATATTAGAGATGATAATAACAAAAAGGATAAACTACAAATTGAAAAATAGACCATAAAAGAGATACAAAAGGTATTAAAAATTTTATTTTAATATATCTATCAATCTTCCTTCTTTTCCTAAAAATATAATTTAATGAATATTTGTTTTAAACAATATGCTAAAATTTAGAGAAAGATATATAGAAAAATTTTCATATGGTAAATATTTGAGATTCAGATTAAATTCGTAATATTTCATATCGTTATTATTAATACAAGTTTTTTTGGTTCTCATGATTTCATATTTTTCATAATTAGCAAACCGTGTGCGTTTTGACTATCAATTTAATGCTTTTTGACTATCAATTTAATGCTTTTTGTTATTGTGCAGTAATTTAGAAATTTCTCTTCAAGTGGAGTTGCTGGCAAAGGTTGGTACAATTAACGCAATTGCAACCATGAAAGGAAGCTTTGCATCTATCTGTGTTAGCTTCTGCGATGGCAATTCCGATGTGCTTTGCATTGAAAGTGAGAGAGATGCTTTTTTGGAGTTTAAGAATGATCTGATCGATCCATCAAACAGGCTATCGTCCTGGGTTGAAGGTGTGGATTGCTGCTATTGGAATGGTGTTTCTGCCATAACTCAACAGGTCACAACCACCAACTGCATTTGGCTGCTCCATTTTCATCTCCTTTTGGTCGGGTACCACTTACTGAATAGGAAGCTTACAAGTAGTCAAAGCTAGGAGGCAGAATAAATCCTTATCTGCTGGAGTTGCAGCATCTCAATTGGCTTGACTTGAGCAATAACAATTTTAGCAGCATTCAAATCCCGAGTTTTTCAGTTTGCTTGGGAGTTTAACATATCTCAACCTCTCTCGAGCAGGATTCCATGGAACAATTCCTCATATCCTTGGGAATCTCTCAGAGTTTCAGCATCTTGACCTCGGACGTAATTATTTCTTGGAAGAAGTGAAAAATCTTCAATGGGTTTCTGGACTTTCTTCTTTGCAGTACCTTGATTTGAGTCATATGGATCTTCATAAAGCAACTGATTGGCTACAAGTAACATTATCCAATCTTCCTTCTCTGTTAGTTGCACTTGTCTGATTGAAAGTTACCAGATGATACAACTCCGATCAGCACTGTTAATTCTAACAAATCATTAGTTGTTCTTGATCTTTCTTTGAACCGATTATTTTCAGTTCCTATGTCGATATTTGGTCTTCATGGCCTTGTGTCGCTTGATCTTACCGATAATTATTTGGAAGGCCCAATTCCAGATTACTTTGGGAACATCTCGTCTCTTGAAGTCCTTGATCTTAATTGCCTTGGGTCGCCTGGAGATTTCAACCCACACAGTTTTTCCATACCACACTCCTTGTATAGTTTAAACCACCTTCAATTCCTTGGTCTTGTTATGAAAAAATTCCAAGTCGAAATTTCAAATGCCATTGGAAACTTGAGCTCTCTCATTCACCTTGATCTGTGGGGCAATCAGCTTCAAGGAAAAGTACCAGCCTCTTTAGGAGATCTTTACAAATTGAAGGAGATGGATTTGTCATATAATGGAATTGATCAAGACATATCAGAAATCCTACGGAGTCTGTCTAAATGTTGTTTGGATAGCTTATTGTCATTGAGTATGGCAGATAACCAACTTTCTGGCCATTTAACTCATAAACTTGGGCAATTTAAAATTTTAGCTTAGTTGAACCTTGATGGAAACAAGATTTCTGGTCCATTCCATTGTCCATAGGGGAGTTATCATCTTTGAAGGTATTTGATGTTACAGAAAATCAATTAAATGAGACTTTTCCTCCAAGATTTTGGCAGTTGAAAATTTAGAAGCTCTAGTTATTGGGAAAATCAATTAGAAGTTGTAGCATAAATTCATTTTTCTAATTTCTCGAGGTTTACAACTCTGATGGCATCCGAAAACATGTTTAGATTTGAACCAAACTCAAGCTGGATTCCGCCGTTTCAATGTGAAATTATCGAATTGAGTCATTGGCAACTTGGCCCCAAGTTTCCTCAGTGGTTGAAGTTCCAAAAGAGGTCTCATTTAGATATCTCGCATGGAGGACTTTCAGATGTCATTCCCACTTGGTTTTTAAACCTTTCCTCTCAATTTCAATTTCTAAATCTTTGCTCTAATCAACCTACTTGAAGGATTTCATATTTGAATGTAGAAGACATCGTCGACCTGAGTTCAAACCGATTCTCTGGTCCACCTCCAAGACAGATGCCAAACCAATTCTATGAGCCAATACATCCATACCCATATTTAAGTTTTTCAAGGATCTTATTTTCGGGATCCCTTTCTTAATTTGTTTTGCAATTCATCAATGACATCAGTGCTAGTTCTTCTCATTGATCCAAATCATCTCTCTGGAGAAATTCCAGATTGCTGGAACCGTTGGCAGGAGTTGAAGTTCTTAAATTTGGGAAACAACAACTTGACGGAAAAATCCCATCTTCTTTGGGACATACAAGTCTTGAAATACTAAAACTTCCGAAAATAGCATGTTTGGAGAATTACCCTCAGCATTGCAAAATTGTACGAGTTTGGCTATTCTTGATCTCAATGAAAATCATTTAAGCGGAAGAATACCTGCTTGGATTGGTGACAAGCTCTCTAGCCTTGTGGTATTAAGTCTCAACGAGTGGTCGGACAGTAATAGAGGAACTTTTAGCATTTATTTGAGTGCATCATTGGTGTTGAAAGGAAGAGAGGATGAGTATAATATCACACTGGGACTTGTTACCAGCATAAACATTTCAGTTAACAGTCTAATATGAGAGATTCCCAAAGAACTTGGAACTCTCATTGGGCTATTGTCATTAAATATTTCAGGGAATCTCCTAACTAGAGATATACCAGACAACATTCGCGACTTAAAGTTGAAGGAATCTCTTGATTTGTTGATGAATCGTTTGCATGGTGAAATCCCTTCAAGCTTGTCCAATTTAAGTTTCTTGAATCACTTCAACGTGTCATACAACAACCTATCAGGACAGATCCCGACAGCCACTCAGCTTAAAAGTTTTGAAAACTCTTCCTTCAAGGGCAATCATCTTTGCGGGCCTCCAGTGAGTAAAAACTACAGCACTAAAGGTGTTCCGACTAATGCTACGAAGAATGGAGACAGCAATGGAAGAAGCAAAGTGAATACGTTTTATGTTAACATGCTTGTTGGGTTTGTAATGGGATTTTGGGGAGTGGTGGCTCCCCTGTTTTTCATAAGGTCTTGGAGGCATGCTTGCTATGCAAAGCTGGAGCACTTCGGTAACAAGTTGTATGTGTTTTGGGCTACTAAGAGTATGCAGTTCCATGGGAAAAAATAACATGTATAATTAATGTTTGAGTGTGATTGAAGTTTGTGCAACCTATTGAAAAAATATGTATGAATGAAAAAGTTATAGCATGCATAATTAAGGTTTGTGTAATATATTGAAATATGGATGAAGTGTGCCTGGTATTTCAATAATGTGTATATTGTTGGGTTAAGGATTGCAATTGGTGCCTTTTTTACTGAGTTTGTTCGGTTCATTAAGTGATCAACTTGAGTAACCAAGGAAAGTAATAGGTTCTAAATTAAGTGCATGATAGAAAAAATGATGTTATGCAAAATAAAAACGAAGATCGACAACAATTTAAAACAAAATGCAGAAAACAATACATCTAAACGAATCATTCATAAACGACTACTTCAGAAAGGATGTAATAAGTCTGAGCAATTCGTTTACAACAACAAACAGGAATGGATCGAGGGTCCACGGGGGCCACTAAGGACAGTCACCCCTATAAATTTTAAATTTTATTATATATTTTAGAATTTTTTTGTATTTTATAATATGCTTTCGCTCCTATATTTTTATAAATTTATCTCCTCTTAAAATTTTAGAAATTTACCCTTAATATAAAATATTGTCTTTCCCTAACAATAATAAGGATTAACAATAATAAGGATTACATAGAAGTATCAATAACCAAAAATATTATTAAAACATAATTTACTTATCTTTAAGTTAGTAATATCAGAATTGGTCGACAATAATGTCAACTTGCAGGGTATCGATAAGCAAGAATCCATTAAATGACTGATCTAAACGTAATAAGATTTAATTAATTATTTTTGCTGTTGATGGAAAAGAAGTTTACACAGAATTGCTATTCTAATTCCTTTCCACATGAAAATTGGATCCATGCACATTTTAATGGTTTTTTTTGGTCCAATACGGCGGGCGGCAAGTTTATTTGGTCTAATAGGGCACTCCTGATTTTATTTTCTGATCTACGACATATTCTACAGTACATGATAATTCGTCACCTCGACGTGACGAGTTTTATTTTATATTATTTTTATGTTGCAGACCAATTTTTTAATATTTCTTCTGAAACTCGTCACGTCAAAGTGACGAGGTCAATTAAAAAAACATTTTTTTCATATTATTATTTTAATTTAATTTCAAAAAAAATACATTAGAACTCATCACCTCTATGTGATTAGTTCGTCTGGGTTTAAAATTTATAGTCATTTAGATTTAAAAAATAGCAGTTGGAACTCATCACGTCAAATTTTAACTATAAATAGGAGTTGGATTAGATGATAGAGTTATAGGAGAACCAAAACATGAATTTGTGGGAAGAATATGTCAGACAATTTTCAGAAGATCATCTTTGGTCTAATTACTCTGATATTGATTATTCGGATTCAAGTCGCCTTCAGATAATGAGTGGGCAAAAGAATCAATAAAGTCTATTTTTGATCAACATAAGGAGCTGAAAAAGGAGGAGGAGGAGAATAAGAAGAAGGAGAAGAAGAAGAAGAATTAAGAGTTAGCAGGCCGACACAACAAGTGACTCATCGAAAGGAATGAGAATAAGAAAAATAATAATGTAAAAATTGAGAGAATCAAGAAGAGGAAAAGTTGTTTATTTTTTTGAAAAATGTTTTAAATAAATGCATGAATTTAAGTTTAGTTAAACTTTATAGTTTGCAATTATATATGAAATGTAAAAAACTGAAAAATTATCATTGATATTGATTAATTTAGTAAAATCGGTACAACATGGGAATACAATTACAAAAGATTTATCAGCCAGCTCGATATCTTGGGAGATGTAGACAGTGCTTCCTGTTGTGGCCTTCACCTCTGCAGTGGCCACATAGCTTCAACAGACCTTGCTCTCTTTGAGGGTCATCCATATCAATATTAATTCGACTAGATTCAGGATGACCCTTCAAATTCCTTTTAATTTTGGATTGAGCAACCACTCTTCAGAGATAGTAGGTGGCTAATATGCATTGTTTGGGAGATACTTAAACTCGCAACTGTATATGTTGCACATAGTATGCAAGCTACAACAATCATCAACGTAAATGTATGGGTCTATATTCACATGCATACATGCAAGAAACACATGAGCGCATGGGTATCTAAAGGCTTGAAATCGACCACAATCACAACATCTTCTATTCAGATTACCAATATAGGTGGCAGAAGTCTTACCCTCATGTGGTCGAACAAGTGCTTAGATAATTTAATCAAATTCCAGTATGGCAAAATTACAAACATACATTGATGTTGCATGATTTTTTTTGTTCATTGCTTTCTCCAAATCTGGAGCCCAATTTATATCTTCGTTGAGCATTGTCTCTACCTGGGCACATTTGTATGCCCAAACTTGACCCAACCTTATGTGTATCCCAAACAATACTTGTCACCAGAAGATGTCTATTCCATTTTAGCATTGAATTGATACATTCGGCAATATTAGTTGTCATATGACTAAAATACCGACCTTGACCATCATATGCCTATGCCCATATTTTTTGAGGTATCTCAACTGCAAGGTTATACACCTCTTCTCCATACTTCCTCAAATTTTGCAGTATTGCGCGAAAGCTCTGTTGTAGTAATGTATACCTTGAAAAATAGTTAGTTTAAGGTTATAAATGAAGACAAAAAATGAAGGGTAAGATTGAATAAGTTACCCATGCTGGTAATCTCTTTCTTTATCTTCTTATTTTTTAACCTTGTCATAGAATTTGAAGCAATATGTCATATGCAATACGAATGAAATGCATGTGGAAGTGATAACCTACTTCCCAGTCTGTCAATCGTAGCCAACAACCCAGGTGAACTGTCTGAGATCATACAAACGCCATCTTGAGTGACAATATGGGAGCACAAGTTTCACAGAAAGAAATTCCACGTTTCCTCAGACTCATTTATAAAAATAGAAAATGCAATGGCGAAGATATTTTTGTCACCATCTTGTGCAACAGCTATCACAAGGACGTGTTTGTATATGTTATACAGAAAAGTGTCATCTACTTGAATCATTTTTTCCAATAACGAAAGCCTTCATTTTATGACTTGAAAGCCCTATACAAGCCTCCAAAAACTCTCTTCCCATGGATAATTTGTCCATCAAATGTGGTTACAGGGTAAGAATAAGAGCGAACAATGGTTACTGGGATAAAATATTCCATTTTGTGCAACAGATGTGGCAGCTCATTGTATGACTGATCCCAATCACCGTACAATAGTTTTATAGTTTTTCGTTTTGCTATCCAGGACTTGTAATAAGACGGAATATAACCAAATGTATTATGTATTGATGCCACTATCATTGATAGCAGGATCCTTGGATTTTTTTCTCCACTAGTAGCTTGATGTATGCACATATGAAATTAGAGTTTAAGTGCTTGTGGTCTTGTGTAAAGGATCTGAACGTGCAACTATACTGGTTGTGGAACCTTGTGACTTCCCACAACATCTTTCGTTGTAGGTATGAGACAATATCCTCCACTTACAGATAACATTGTATTTATACATCTGACAAAATATGTCTTCTGGTCAGACTCTACAACAGTGAATTCCATATGAGCTTTGATACAAAACTCATTCACAACTAGTTGCGCATTCGTATTACTCTCAAACTATGACCCAACGCCAAGCTATATTGATCCTTCATCCGAGGTCCCCCAGTGGGTTGCACATATATCTAACATATTAGGAATCTCAGGATTCCTCATAACATCATAGTTTTTGTCATACACTGCAACTGTATAACGATATTAAGGCATTTGGGGTTATGAACTTTCTGGTTGCCTCGATGTTGGTGGATGTTTCCAAATTAGTAGATCATTATATATTGCTTGGCCACGAGAAACGACTGCCTCCAGACATCCCCTCTATATCAAAAGCTTGTCCCTCTAAAATAGCCTCGGCGATATCAGATTCATCGATTATTGATGTGTCATCGTCTATCATAAGTGGAATAAAAGTTTCACCATCCTCGCTAAAATCAAAAAGGATTTCATCGAATAGCCCGATGAGGTTATCTACATCTTATGATGGTCCTGCTTTTGCGATCACCTATGCATCAATTGATGAAGGTCAACCATAACAACTACATCGTCATCATCATCGACCAGGATGGCTTCATATTTGAGCGGAGTCTCTAAAATGACGTATCAATATCTCAAACTTAAAACAGAAGCTCCAATTTGTTTTTGATTTTCATCTTCATTTGCCAATAAGATACATCTACTAGGAACATCATGTTGATTGACCTCTGTGACATGAACTGAACACCATCTTTAGTTTGGAAAACTTGGCCATTTGAGTGGATGGCTGTGAAATTTTTTTTTGCCATAGCTTTAGATATAGATTGGTTTTTTCTTGTTCAATGCAATTGTAAAAATAACTAGCCTTGTGAATATTCATCTGAAGTGAGCTAATTTAAAACTAATATGATCCATCATGAATTATCATTCAAAAACTTTCCAGTGAAATTTCATATCAGTAGACATTATTTTAGCTACTTTTTAGTGCTCAATTAATGCACTATTATAGCTACTTTTCAATGCTCACTAATGCACCATTTCAACTACTTTTTATATGTCATTTATTGCAATAATAATACAATGGTTGGCTTATTTAGAGAATGCAAAATTCAAGCAACTTTTCAGAAAATATGTGAAATAATGGTGCATTATTATCTTCATAAACTTTTCAGTGATATATCAACTCAAATCAGAAAATGAGTTTTTATTTGAAGAAAAATAATGCACTCTTCTAGTTATTTTTCAGTGTAATATGAACTCAAATAAAAAACCTTTTCAAAGGACATTTACTGTATCAATAATGCAATATTTTCAGATGTCATTCAATGCATAATTTAAACAACACTTCAAAAAACGCGTGAAATAGTGGTGTCTTATCGTCTTCAGCAACTTTTTAGTGATATATCAACTCAAATCATAAAATATTCTTGTGGTGCATTTATCACTTTATATCAGAAAAAACGTGTTTTTCACATAAGGCCAAAT